CATATATATATATATATATATATATATATATATACATACATATATTTATTTCGTGAATAATAATAGATATTTCTGTCTGTTACAGCATCAAAAGAATATCGCATGAAGATTGCACCTATTAGTGCATATATTGAGGACACTTACATAACGCAATTATTAGATTATGCGACTTCGATGATACCACCGCGACTGGTTCTGGGTGATAATCTTAAAAAGATACAAACAATAGCTGCGTTAAACGCAATGTACATACCAGAGTATATCATGATCGATTCAAAAATCTTAAGCAAACCACTAAGATTGCAAAACTTCGTGATAGAACCACTATCAATTTTATTAAGTGTTCACACTTCTATGCGACTCTACGTTGCTTTAGATCATTCCCCACTGTACTTCGGTACTTTCGAAAGGAAGAACTTGCTGACAACTCCTTACAGGCTTGGCAATGCACTTACCATGCATTATTTATCTGGAGCTATATTTGGAGCAGGTTGGTATAATATTATTTATCTATACAAAAAATATTTTATATATATTATTAATTTGATATAATAGCAGAGTAACGACCATTATCCATTTATTAGGTTGGGTAGTTGGATCATTAGAGATACTTGGATCACCGGGAGGTTTGGCGCAAGCACTTGGATCCGGTCTTAGAGATTTTGTTTCACTACCATTTCAAGGACTATTACAAGGCCCATGGGGTTTTATCGTTGGAATTACACACGGGTCAGCCAGTCTGATGAAACATGTCACAGCAGGTATGCAAACTATTAATATTCATTTCCTTGTTCCGAATACTTAATAAATAATTCATATTTCGATTTATGTACACAGGTACGGTAAATTCCGTAACGAAATTAGCATCTAGTGTCGCACGGAATTTGGATCGTCTAACATTGGATGAGGAACATCTTCAGCGACAAGAAGAATCGCGCAGAATACGTCCTCAAGGCATGGCACAAGGACTTTATCAAGGCTTAACTGGTCTTGGAATGAGTCTACTTGGTTAGTAATTACTTAAAAAATATTTTTCAATTAAACAGAATACAATAACTAATTGTTGATTGTTAATCAGCGGCTGTGGCGGGCTTGGCACATCATCCTTTGCAGCAAGTGTGGTCAGGCGAAGTGACGACCAAAAGTTTAGTCACTGGAGTTGGACTCGGTTTAGTTGGTGTTGTTACTAAACCATTGAGCGGTGCCGCGGAGTTGGTTGCTCTTACAGGTCAAGGATTACTGCAAGGAGCTGGATGGAATTCATTGCCCACGGTAATAGATGTCTTCTAATTTCTATAGTCTTCTAATTACATAATTAATGTAATTTTACTTTCATGATTTTTCTATATTTTTACAGCCACGTCAAAGACCAATCGTGCAGTACACTACTGGCAATAATAGCACATCTGTACGGTATACCTGGCGCTTGTCACCTTTACTCGATCACAGTCACGACAGTATCCTTCACGTGACCAGCGCAGACTACGTGATTCATCAAGGCAGTAATCGCGCAGTGACGCTCGTCCTCACGCGACAAGCTTTATTACTCGTTAACATGGCGGAGGACAGTGTAGAACGGATATTTTCGCTCAAAGAACTAACAAGTGTTGATCATATCACAGAATCGACGATGTTGTGCTTATATTGTCCACCAACAGCAATACAATTGAGCAGACCATTATCACCGGCTGAACACGAAGTAAGATACTAAATTCACGAACATCACAGGTATAAATCACATAAATGTAATATAACGTTTTTCTTTTCTTTTAAGATGAATCAAGAAATGAGAGCACGAGTTGAGGAATATGTGCGGACAAGCAGCACTGGTTTGGCCAGTGTATCAACCAATAGCGACAGGCAGTCTGATACCTTTGAGAGAGCATCCCCACATCCAGAACATACACTTACGTTTTACGTTTGCCCAGACACTCGTAATTATTTATTATCGCTATTCAACGTTGCCAAACGACAAAATCAAGGTTCCGGTTTCACCGTTTTATAATCAAATGTATGTTCAGATATGATTATAATTAAGTGCAATGACTGAGAAAATATTCCAAATATTACTACATGTCAAAACAAATGCATTCAAACTCAATAGTCTTTTAAATATTGATGTATATCTTACTTTTTAAAATAGTATTTCAAGCTTATGAAGCTTGTAATATTATAATATATACAAACAGTATTATAATTAAAAAGATATAAATTAAAAAGAAATTCCCAAAATTCCCATTAAACATAATCAAGATTCCAAAATATTTGTATTTGAATGCCCAGATAGGAGATCTACTTTTATTAAAATATATTTGCACAACTGGCATTTTTATTTTATATAGAAAATATACAGAATGCTTTATAATATGTGGATCCCCCCTCCCCCCTTCCTCCTTTAGCAGTGGACAAAGAACAAAAGACAAAAAAAATAAATAAATATGTGTCTTATTTGACCTTGTTTTAGAGTTACTCATTATTGTGCTATATATTATAGTTATAGTCATTTTTGTGCTTCAGTAATATGCTGTTATTTAGGAGATGCTCGAAATGATCACAGTTCTGATACTACTATCTGACAATCGCTTTTTAAACAAACTTGTATCTCGTAGACGTTCATGTAATTAATTTTTGATGAAATGTTTTCTTATCTGATAGATATCTATTAGAGAAACAATCCGTAAAGACGTCTTATTTCGGATGAATTACATTCGGCAAGTTCATACATCAAAAAGTATGTCTATCACATTTCTTTTCTTGTGACTTGAATTTATTCATAATTACTTTCAACTCACGTCAAATTAATAAATTATTAAGTATTCCAGCAAGAAAACAAACTGAAATAAATACTCAATGAACAAAATATATGAAATCAATAAGGTGAGAAATATATAGATGTCGAGCGTTGTTTATAAATATAGATAAGTACAGAAGGTAGCCATTTCGAACATCTCCTATGAAGACACACAGCTGCCCAGAATACAAAAATAACTGTAATTCTAAATTAAAATATGTAAAATTTCTAGCTCGAGATTACTAAGCAAGAATTGGTAATTAGAAAGGTCAAAAAAACATGAACAATACATTTATTGGATCTTTAAAAATAAACTAGTTTATTACAACATACGTTAAGAATTAAACTAGTTTTTTATCTATAAATTATAATCAGAAATGTTTCGATTGTACTAACTCTTTTTCAATACATAATATTCTTAATAATTAAATATTGGAAAGAAAATGCAATATATAAAAACACGAAGTCATATCAGGAACATACAATAAATTTGACATTATATGCAAATAAAATTACAAAATTGATACACCTTTAACGTCATCTTATTGTCAAATGAGTTCAATTATTTCATTGTTGGATGGCGAGAAAAAGCAGATAAAAATTCTATTATTAAAGTCATCTTCAGAAAATTAAAATTGTGAAAATTCAAATCAAAAAATTAAATATAAAGATCCTGTAAAAGTTATAAATATGCTTAATTTGACTTCATGCAATAATATAATTCTAAATTCTAAAATAAGGTTAAACACACTTTATATGATTTTTTTTTCATTGTTTTTATGTCCCCCATCTACTGCTGAGTGTGACCCATGTTGTGAAACACTCTGTATGTTATGAATTTATAATATATAAATTTATTATATTATATAAATTTAACATTAAGCTAAACAAAATATATAAATTATATAAAATATTTATAATATTGCTTATTTAAAAAATTCAGAAACGTACAAATTATGAAAATTATCTTTATTTTCAAGTTATCATATACTTTATGAATAATAAAAAAATAAACTTTTATATGCATTATTTATATATATAATTGTATATGTACACATATGATGACAACATAACTTTACATGAATACAAGTTATGTTGTGTGTGCCAAAATATTACAAATGATTCTATCACTCGAAATTGTCGTAAATTATATGTAATATTGATCTAACGATTCAACATATTACAATAATATATTTTGTATATCGTTAACAAAATCTAGCATAAAATAAATACTAAAAAAACTAAGTTACATTGATTTATATTCTCTCTCTCCTTTTCTTTGTTATCTATTTAAAATATTGTCATAAATCCGTTCAATCTCGCACGATTTATAAGAAAATCCACAAGATTTACACTGGTTATTTTCAATAGATAATAATATTTTTCTACATACCACGTGTTTACATGGAAGTCTATAAAAAATACTATCATTACAACATTCACATTTGTTAGATATTTTATGTAATTCCACCTTTTCTGGTGTGGTGAAGCGTTTCATATTAGATAACAGAGTCTTTAAATTGCTGTCTAACAAATTGTCATTAACTAATTCATCATCCTTATGATTTGGAAAATTGCTATGAGTTAATTTGGAGAAAGTTGAAACATTTGTGAACTGTCTTGGTTTTATTATAGCACTGGCAGTGGATCGTTTGGGCACAACTGCTATAGGCAGTTTATGGCAATATTTTTTTGTAGGTTGCGAATTATTATTTGTCGTCTGCTTGTACGTATTTGATTTAATATCTTCGGCAGTCCTTTTTAAATTTCTATTTAATACACATTTTGGTATTTCAATTATTCTTCTATCTCCTGCTATAGTTGAAGTTGGATCGCGGCCTAAGACTCTTGGCATATTCTTGATTTCATTTCGATTGCTGTTGTCCATTAGAAACTTGTCAATCCTTGACTTGAGTGCAGATGCCATGACTGGTCTACGGTCATCATTAAATCTCAAGCCTGTGAATGGATCTGATAATGATCTACCCCAAATTGCTTCATTTTCTCCATGTTTCTCTAATGTGGTTTGATCTATTATTTGTCCACAAGGTAATATAATTGGCTGAGTCATTATTTCCCATGTAATAGGATCTAGAAAGCTTTCAGGAATGTCAATGGTTGCATCATTCTTCAGTCTGCATATAAATACAAAATATTTATATTAATTAATAATTAATATTACGCAACTTATTATGTAATTATATCGCTCATTTGCTATAATAACACAAATCGAAAATATCCAGAAAATGAGTTAAAACATTTCGAATTATTAAAATTTGGTAACTTTAATTTTAAAATACAAGTTTGATATAAAAAATGATTGTAAAGAAATAAAAATGTATATTTTTAAAGAATGTTTTTTTCTTTTTTTCCTTACATTCCTGTTCTTTTTTACAAGCAACTAAAAAATTAGAATTTTTGAACTAAATTGTAGTAAATAAGCAATACAATTTCTAATTTATATATGTATACCTGTTATGTATCTCTCTGGTATCTATAGAAGTAGTGTTTACAGCATTTACAGAGGCTTTCAGTCCAGTTACAGGCAACGTCGAGGAAGCTCGTTGTTCAGCCCATAAAACATGTACACTTGCTACAACATCTTTTCCACAACGTGGGGATACTGTTCCCCATACTTGAATTTTTCCTAATGCTGGCACTGAGTTTTCTGTTTTATATATTGTTATACGTAAAACATGAGCATATTTAGTTGTCACAGGTCCCTTAGAAGCTTTAATACAACATCTCAAGAAATTTGGTGGTGTGGAGATGCCTGTAGGGTCTATGTCACTCGAGTGAAACAATAAACCAGCATCATGAAGACTCAGTCGTCCACTGGACATACAGGTAAACAGAGTATTGTTATCATTAGTATTCCTAAGGGAAAGCTGAAAGCCCGATGACTTCTGTGACCCGACGGATGGCCAAATCAATACATGATTGATAGATATGTTGCAGAGAAACGTAATATCTATATTAATTGGTGGTTTGATGCAGGAGTATGCCAAATAACCTTTGTAGGAACCGCTTATCAAATTGGTCACTTCGTATCCATCCGTGCTGATAGCACTAGATATAATTTCTGGACGTAAGCGAGGATCACAAAAATTCAGAAGCATCTTTTCTTGTAATTGTAGACCACTAATAGTATCTGCAATATCATAAAATGCACATTTTCTGTTCAGTCATCCTCACAAAAAATCACTAACAGTATCATACGCTCGTTACAAGTTTAACAACATGAATTTTCAATGTGGTATGATCAATAAGATCAGGTATGATGAATCAGGTGTATATATGAATGATTAATTACAACTTTCCTTATCTTTTCCCATTCCTATTATAATCAATTATAATGAGATATAATACGTTTCTTCTGTTCATCATGGTTCTATCTGGCGTGAATCACTAGTAAGTTATCATCATCTCTTTGTATCATAAGATAAATAATTTCTTTTTTCTAACTAAATTTATCCAGGCTAATTGATATTATTATTAATATGTGTATTATATATTTAATTAATTATTAAAAATAGTTTTATATTATAACACAGAGAAACCTGAGAGAGGGCATAAGAATCTTTTTCCTATAACCGCAAGATACTCCCGCACACTATTGCCCTCTGAAGAAGTAGATGCAAACTACACAACAATATCCATTTTTTTCTCTATGAAAATAAATCGCTGAAACGTTAAAATCTCTGTTAATTTGATAGATTTTTTTTATTTATTTTTTTTTATTTCAGCGATTTATTTCCATCAGGAGTACCGCAAAAATATAGATATTGTTGTAAATTATATAATTCAAATTCACAATTACGCAATATGCGAAATTTGTTGAATTCTAAGGAGTCGGTTTCACTACCGATGAGATACTAATACTGTTGTATTAAAGACCGACATCCTTATGGGAGTTCGCGTCCTTGTGAATATTTAAGTAATTAAGAGTTAAAAACTGATAATATTGTACTAATTTTATGATCTATTAATTTAATTGACGTATTTATGCATTTAGAACTCAATAATACTCGATTTTTCTTTAAAATTGTAATTTCAGTGTTATCGTCAAAGTTTGATTAACAACAGAGATGATAACTGCAGAAAAATTGTAATTTTTCTACAATATATAGAACATTATGGCTTTACAAATATGCATATTTATTTATGGAACATTTATGTAATAAAAAATCATGAATTTAATAATGTATGAACCAAATATTTTTTGGTAATAATAATAAATTTATATCAATTATCGATAATATCAGCATTCTTTAATTACCTCCGGGCAAATTTATATCAATTGTCGATAATATCAGCATTCTTCCATTACTTCTGGGCCCTTGAGGCCCTTTTTGTACCGCCGAAAATTTGCTCAAGGTTAACAGTCTTTTACATCTCGTCGGTGACTATAGTATTTCTCTAGACTTTTGTGTACGTTTCTTTTCAAGAATAAAGGCCCTGACTATGAATACCAGCCTTTATAAATGCTAATACGGCCCTCTGATTAGTTCATGACATATTAAGAGTGTACTTAAGCAGTCTTGAATATAAAAACCGACTATGAATACCGATTTATGATTCTAGCGTATATATTTTGTTTCTGATTAATGAAGTGCAAATTAAGAATGCGGAATAAAACGTAAATGACTGTAGAATTAAATGATTCAAAAGTAACAATCACAATACTAGTACGTCTATCTATTGTTAAAAATATTACGTACATTGCGCAGATTTCGTATAACAAAGAGTTGTTACAAACTATAATTATCGTGTATTGTAACACAATTTGAAATATATCTGAGATATAGATGAGTTGTGTGTGTGCGTGACGATCTAAGAAAAAGTCTATTTATCAGAGAATATATGTATAGAAAATATAACGAATAAATTATTTTATTTTTTTTCGTAATATGTATTAATATTTCGACAGTTAGACGGTTGGCGCACGGCCTTGGCCTATATAGAGGAAAGGCTCCTATTATGAGATACCGAGTTTATTTTGGATAAATGCTAGAAGTCTATAGGCAAAATTTAAAAAAATAATAGGTCATTTTGAAAGAAATTTTATAAGCTTTATATATATATATAAAATAACATTACATAAAATTTAATTCAAATTCTTTTTTTTTTTTTTGAAAATTGAAGAAATGTAAAAGAAAGAAAAAAGTCGCAAAATCAAAAAATTGTGCTTCTAATATGAGATGCCCCGAGAAATCGATAGTAAAACGCAAAATAGATCAGTGTTGCAATTAAAAAACTTTATTTAATGTTTCTAAAATACAAACAAACACAACCAGCGTGCGCGCAAAATGAGCATGCGATAGATTATATCCAAAACTCATTTTCAGATAGTTGGAATCAAGCATCGCAGATATAGGCACTCGACGTTCATTCCGGTCTTTTTTATTATTGTACAATAATATTTATTTAGCAACGATTTTCACTATACATAGGAGCATGGGTTATTTAATATTAGAAATACCTTGGGTATCTCATATTACGATTTCCATGTCTTATGGTTTTACGACCATCAAATCTAACTTCTGTAATTAAATAATTCAACATATCCCATATTTTTTTATTAGTACGACCTTTCTCTATCACTACATGAAGCATTTATTGCCAAATATTTATTTATTAAATAATAAACAAGGTTTAAATGCTCATTTCAATGAAACTTAAAGACATCTAAATTTTAAAATCTTGTTTTACAATGACTACAGGCATGATCTAATAATAAATTCTCTATTAAATAGTTTTCAATCTACCAGCAATAAATCCATGATGGAATCAACAGATAACATTTATTAGTTTAGCAGAAACGCCGCTATCTCATATTATATTAGGCACCTATCTCATAATAGGGGGTTTTCCTCATAAATAAATTCTAAGGTCGCATAAAATACATAGTCTTATCATTTAAATATAATACACTACTGACAGCATTTTATACGTTTCAACAAGGTGTCATTAAAATTTATTTAACTTTTACATTTTTCAATGATTTTTAAATAACATTTAAAACAGAGGTTTATTATCATATCTGCTTGAAGATATTATACTCAATTTTAATTTTTATACATTCTTATTACATTAAAAAAATATGTATAAATTGCAGTATAAATATTAATAAATTTTTATTTAACTTTGAGTTAATACAATCTTAACGTAACTTTAATTGAGTTAGTTTTTTATTTATTCAACATTTAACTTAACTAAATTAGTTTTGTAAGCCATTAACTTTAACTTAATTTAGTTTAAAAAACACTAATTTAGTTTAAAAAAAACTTCAATTTACCGAACCCTGTTTATGTAGTATGCAATTCTCAAACAATATGGTATATTGCACATTATGTCATTGCACATTGTATGTTAAAGTGTCTCTACAGAAAAATATTGGACTCGCAAAAAAACTATTGAAACGAATAATGTACAATAATGTACTTGAATGGTTTTCCAATGATTTCCAATAGGTTTTTCGCAAGTTCAATAATATTTTCTGTAAGAGTGACTTCTATTAATCCTATACACAATGGGATTCCAGAAATTCCAGTGCAATTTGCTAAATCGAGATTTTTTCGTTGTTTCTAAACTTTTCTTTTTCTTCAAATTCATATATCTTGAAGCTTCTTGATTCTATTGACTTTTACACATTATGGACTTGTTCCTTAATTAATTCTCCATCGATTGAAAAAAAAATTAATTGAAATATGTCCATTTTTAAGGAAGTTACAATAACAAATATAAATGGGACCCCAGACACCCAAGTGTGCATATCAAAGGCAGAAAAAAATAATGTGTATAACTAGGGTTAATACGCAGCTTTTTTCCTGCGTGTTACATAATTGAATGTCAAATAGTTTGTACACAGTTATGCAAATTAAGATATTCATACTGCAGGTGGGTGATGACAACTTCTTATTAATTGTTATGTATGTTGATTAAGACTTTTCAATAACACACTTATTTCCTCTTTAATATACACTGTTTTACTTTAACTATACACCTCTTTAATATACACAGGGCAACAAAATTAACGCAACATCTGTTCACTCTGCAAAAATAGGCAAATTTCAAGATACAATAACTTCGTCAAAAATTGTCGTATCGGGATGTTTAAAAAAGCATTTTACAGAAATCTCTACTTTTCGGATCGCTATTTAAAAAAACGGTCTGATGGAGATTTCATAAAGTTACACAAGCATAAATGAAGATATATCAGACCTCAAAATTTTTAATGAAAAGGACCATTTTTGCTTCAATGTTGAATAACTCGATGAAAAAAAATCGTACGGAGCTTCGTAAAAAAGCAAATTAAAGGTAAAGATTCGCTCTTTCGAATGATGTAAATCGCATTTGTGTACAATTTTTAGTCCACTCCGTAGAACTTCGCAAATTTCTAAAAAAATTTTGAGATTTTATATCTTTATTTATGTTTGTGTAACTTCATGAAATCTCCATGAGATTGTTTTTTAAGTAGCGATCTGAAAAGTAAACGTTTCAACCTGTAAAATGCTTTTTTAAACATCCCGATATGACAATTTTTGACGAAGTTATTGTATTTTGAAATTTGCATACAGCTATTGAACAAAATCAGTCACTTAAAATCAGCGTTAAAAAAAGCCAAATTCAAATTTCACATATCTCCGCGAAAAAACATTTTAAAGCCATAACTTCTTTAATTGTATTATAAGTAAAGTTTAACATTTTCTCTTTAAAATGATTTTTTATCATTATGCTACAATTTTTTTCACTAAGTGATGTAAAGTGAGTAGTGCATCATGTAATCTTTTCTCTGAAAATTTCTTAAAATTTTGCTGCCGTATTAGCATTACTCGAGGAGTACCACGGGGAAGTTACACGGTCGGACTTACACGACTTTATACGTTTATAACATTATTATATAAATATTATATTATTTATAACATGTATAATTTATAAATTAATGTGTATTTTAAAGTTAAATACTGTTATTAAATAAATACAATATCTTGAAAATTTAAATACTGGTGTTTAAATAAAACATAATGACATTAATCTTATTTAGAATTTAGAAAAGAATAAATTTATGTTTATTTCAACAATTGTACAACTTTATTTTGATAGTACATAAATAATTTTATAATGCAATACACCAATGTAAGCAAATAGCATGAAAATGACGACGAATGGTTTAGATGTTGTTAACATTTAGAATAAAATTCAAGAATTAAAATTATTCTAAGATGTTATTTATAAAAATTCGAATAATATACATAGTTATTATATCTTGGATATTGTGTATGTCTTGCATATTTCTTTACAAAAGTAATATAAATAAATAAAAATTAAAATAATATTTACTATTAATTAAAAAATATATTAAGCATACATTAACGTTTCATTTTTCGGTAAATAATAAAACAAAAAATAATACCGACAATATCTCTACAATATGTGTACAAGTAATGAGATAATATTTATTTAATGAAGACAATTGAATACAAAAGGAAGAAGAAAGGCAGTACACGTGCAAATTATGAATAAACTAAAATGCTAATCTAAATTGCTAATTAAATTGCTGTCTTGCAATTAACTGATAACGTGCTATATAAATTATAGCTGCGTTCTATCGAGCTCGTTAGTTTGAAGAAGGGTATCAATAAAGTCGCGCCTTTATCATACAAGAAAATTCCGAATTAAGAAAGAATAATGGCAGGAATCTACAATTTTCTGTGTATACTTGTAATCACGATGTTTACTATTGTAATAGCAGCAGATTACTGCAACTTGAAATCATGCGAGAAAGGAAGTCATACTATGTGCAAATACTCTGTAAGTAGCAATATAGTCATATATTCACAAATGATATCTTGTATATTTACAGTTAACGCGCAATCAAGCTCTTTATAATATCTTAAAAGTATATATCTTGAAGAGTACATCTAACATTTTTAATTTTTAAATTAAACTATTGAAACAAATAATTTGTAAGATATACATATGTATATATATATATA